TGTATTCAATACACACATTTTCATCAATAAATGCATAACGCGCCACCCACTCAAATTCCGACTCAAAAAGAAAGAAAATCGACTTTACAGTATCGGACCCCCTAGGGGATGGGAGGAGGGGGAGGGCAGCTACCCTAAAAAATTTCTATCGTCATTCTGATCAACTTTGCCATACATCACTTTTTGATCCAATGAGGTTTTGGACAAGTTGGGTACTCCCCCCCTACTAATACCCAAGGGGGGCAACCCCCCTTTTCACTAAATTATTTCCCCACTCCCAATATATCGTTCCCCATCATTTTCATAATTTGACAAAATACCATTTATAAAAAAAATCGATTTAAAGAGGATGTCGTAAAGTGTAGTTTAGCCACTTTTACTGACGCAATTTTTTAGCATTAACAAATGCCAAATCACAAACATTATGAAAACGGAATTGCATGTTTCAGTCAAACCAACCGGTAAAATGCATTTCTGATAGATCTTTAACTTAAATATAATCACAAACCAATTTTAATTTAATTATAAAATCGACTTTATTTGGTTGATATGATAATGGCAATTATGTTTTAAAGATAATTTTGGGTAATGATCTCCACATTTTACACAGGCAAGTAATTTAACCAAAAGTGGGCTTCGTCGAAAAAGATGATTTTTCGGTATATTTCATGAGTTGATAATTTGAATCACACTTACGTCAAGATATAAATTCATATTCAAATGAATCACAAAGATAAAAAGCAAAAAAAAAAACGGTATTATGTTTTAAAACGCGTCGGACCAAAATCACATCAAAAGGAATCAAATGACAAATATAGTCGATGAATCATGTCTGTATAAAGTACCAAATTAAAGAATGATAATAATAATAAAAAAGAAACAAATAAATTCAGCTCTAGATTTCTGTTGAAATGTTATTTATTTTTCACATTTTTTATTTCTTGTTAAAACAAAAAAAAATCACGCAAAATTCAGCCCAGTTCACAAAATTTGCTTTTGTTAGCAATATATGCATTTTTCTTTTTATAATTGAGTATTGTTAAATGAGTTTATTGTTATCGAATTGAAGTTGTCATGATTGCAGTGCACCTCATAGTGCTGGCCATTTATGAAGAGTCTCTTTCGTCGTAGCTATCATATGGCGACGAGCGTTGGTATGGTATTGGCTTTTTCCGTGCGCTATTTTGGTGACAAAAATAACGGTCATTTTATTTGAAATACATGAAGATTGTTTACAATGAAAAATGCTGTATTTGATATACCTGGTGATGCGACGTCGATCGAGGAAGCTGGGTGATCCGCGTCTTCGTGGTATTGATGGTGAGCGTGACGACCGCCTACAAAAATCGATTGAAATATATTATTTTCTTTGATTTCTTACAACAAAAAAAAACCCAAGATGGACTTACGTGGACTTTTCCTCTTTGCTGCTACTGCTACTGTAGCTACTTTCCCGACGAGAGCGTCTCGACGGCTCTCGCTTCGAATTTTTTCGTTCGCGTGGCGAATAATCAGCATCCACTGATGTTTGTCGCTCCGATCGACGTTCATCGCGTAATTCGTTCGTTTTTTTAATGGTATTATGCTTGAACGATTTATTCGATTTGGTTGCAGAACGATCGTTATGATTTCGATCGGCATGCACACTTTTGGCCACAGACGAATCACTGCTAATCGATTGAATTTTTTGCTTTGCCTTTGCCGCTATATCGGATAATGCTTTCAATAGACGTTGTTCACGACGCTCATCTTCATTCGTTTCGAATGTCAATAGTTCCTCATATTTTCGATCGAATTTATCATCGATTTCATTTTCCGTATCACTGCCGGTTGCTGGCGATGCATGCAATTTTACAATTGGCTGCTGTTTCAGCAAAACACCACTACTCATTGTTATCGGTTTTTTCTTAGATGTTGATGAACCTACCGAAATTGGTGAAAAATATTAGCTTCAAATCTCGAAAATTTCATAGAATTCGTGAAAAGAAAATATTTTTTTAAAGCTGCTGGAAACAAAACAAAAACAATTCATACCATTTGCATTGTCTGATGATGTTGTTGTAGTTAATCGCTTATTGTTCTTGCTATCCGATGGTGAAATGTTGCTTTGTTTCGAACTAAATGCACAATCATTTGTTGGTGATTTTGAGTTATTTTTCGACATATGCTGTTTCGACGATTTTTTGCAATAATTGACACAATTGCAACTACATCCACAATTTCGATCATCCCGTTTAGATGATCGTCGGAAGACGTCTCGATTCTTTGAATGTGATTTCTTCTTTCTCTCTTGGCTGTAACGTCGGGCATTTTCATCGAAACTACTTGATCGTGATCGAGAACTGCGTCGACGATGACTTCTATTCCGTAAAAAAATGGAAAAATTGAAATAATTTAAAAAAAATCCGATCAAAAGGAATGCCTGAACATATCCTGAAATTACATGTTTCCGAAAAAAACGAGAAATCTTCTTGGAAATGTTCTCGAATTTTCGGGGAAACGTTTGTTCAAAAATTTTTGTAGAGGAGTGATTTCAAATCCATACTTCTTCTTGCCAGAATGAATATGTGAAAAAAAATGGTTCTTACCTTGAAGTCGATCGAGATTTAGATCGGGATGATGAGCGAGACCGTGAGTATGATCTGAAAATATACAGCGTTTGTCACATTAATTCACTCTCTTGCACCGCACTCAGTATGCGATCTGTGCAAAAAAAAATAACGAAAATAAATTATTACCGTGATTTTGATCGTGATTCTCTCGAATAGGATCGTCTATGTTTTTTGCGCCTTTTGCTGGATTTCCCTTCTCTGGACGTGTTTGAGCGTCGTGAGAGATTGTTGTTGTTGTTGTTGTTATTGGTGATGGTGTTTGTAAGTGTTGAATCGTTCGATACCATGGATGTAAGTCGATGTGTTACAGGTAACGGTGGTGAATATGACCGCGCATTTTGTTGTACAAAATCATTTGACTTAAAGTACGAATTGATTTGTTTAGTCTTTTTGGTATCGGAGTATTGCATTTCGTGTTGAAATTTAGTCGATATCGGTGATTTTGTAGCTGAACACTCACCACCACAATCGCTAATTGGTTGCAATGGCCCTTTTGTAAAATGTATCACTTCGCATTCGCTATGCTCGTCAATTTCCTGTTTAATATTCACCGCAATTGGCGATTGATTATTATTGGTATTGTGGTTGTTCGTGCTGAGAATGATACTTTTCAATAGTGGTTTTTTAATGTGAATTTTTGGCCTTTTAATATTTGCAATGGTTTGACCAATGCCGGTACTTGTGTAGCTTTTTGCGTTCTCAATACAGTTGTTGCAGTGATGATTGCACAAATCGTTTGGTGACAACGATGTATGGTTTTTTGCTTCTGGATCGGTTGACACCGAGCAATTTTTACTTTTTGATTCACAAGTAAATGCTCTGCGAATAGAAATAAACACGATTTTAGACGCTTTTGAATTTTCAAATTTTCACCTTACACGGTTCTGGTTTTTCTTTTCGTTTTGAGTTTTTTTTTTTTGGTTTTTAAATGGCAGGGCGATAGTTTCGGGGGTGCAAGGTATCTGCTTTTCGTCATATCGAAATTATGAAGAAAAAAGGGGACAAAAAATAAAACGAAATCACACAGTTTATGCGATAATAAATTGAAATCAAATAATTGCGAGAAATCAATGAATAAATCAAAATAGTTTTTCTAAAAAAAACGCGCAAAAATCATATACGATCCAGTTCGTGTTTGCAATCACTCGACATTATTCACTTTTGCCACTTCGGTTTTGATACATTTTGTTTTTAATTTTCTTGTTGTTGCGGTGTAGTTCTTATAGAAGTGCAAGAGACGAGCGCGAGAGAGAGATAGAAAAAAACAAAGAGAAGTAACAAAAAGTCTCCATTCCGTCTGCATGCAATTCACTATTTAATTAATAAATGCAAAAAAAGAGCAAAACGAATGGAAATTCTTAATGCTATTTTCAACGTGGCACAACAAAAAAATTGAGCGACAAATCAGTTGGCTGTAAATTTGAAAGCAAACAAAATTCAGCAATTATGTTGATTGTTCAGTCAATTTGGTTTCATGTGTTTCCAAAATAGCAATTATTCTCATATCTATTGAAAATATCGAGAGGAGAGTATGATTTTATTCAGACATTACTCAGCCATAAGTGCTGATAACATACTCTCTTCTCGATATATTCAATAGATATTATGTCGAGCATTAAATCGATCGATTATTTCACGTTCGATTTTGATTTCAACTGGCATTTCATTTAACAAAATGTTTTCACTGAAATAGATGGATTGACAAGGATATACAGAAAATTAGTAAATGATGACGGTAGATATGTTTCATTTGGGATGTCAGGTTTGTCCAATGAATGAAGAGAAATTAATGAAGAAACAACAAAAAAGACAAGTAAAAAAGTGTTGGACGAAATGACAATCGAAATGGAGCATAAATGATAGGATATGAAATTTTGAACCAAAAATGAAATGGAACTTTGATTTAATCGAAATGGGGATGAAAAATGAAGTAGAAAAAGAGAAAAGACTAAAACGATGAGAGTTTTTGATCGTTTCAAACACGACATGTGTCTAGTGTGGCTGCATCACTTGTATGGCTACATAAACAAAGTAAAACGAAAAAACAAAAACAAAAATACAACAAAAAACGTCAGAGAACAAGAAGACGTCAACGGAAAAAACGCAACATGAATTCTAAAAATCTGGTGTAATTTAAAAAAACGGATACATTTAAAAATGAATTCAGTACAACAACACTAACAACAACAACAAATTAAGTAGAACAAAAGAAAAGACAGAGAGACAGAGATGGTGTTTTTTTTATAAAAAAAAGGTATTCAAATTTGTATTGAGTTCATTCGGATTACCTAATGGTCGTGGCTTTGTTTCCGTTTGCCATTTTATCGATTGAGCATTTACTTTGATCCGTGAAAATTTTGTAAAATTGTTCAGAACATAGTAGATTTTGATTTGAATGCCCAACTCCAATGGTGTTCGGCAATTTTTGAATTGCATTTAAATTGACATGAGAATTGTGTGTGTGGTCGTTGTGAGTGCCCCGGCCGCCCCCATCATCGTCATTATAATCATTATTATTGTCATATATAAGCGATGATGTGGCATTAGTAGCAGTAGTAGCAGTATTGACTGCACCACTATCATTTTTATGCATACAATTCGAATGCAATAGTGCAAGAAATGAATGGTTTTGATCTTGTAATGCGTTCAATTGTTTTTGTAATTTTTTTTGCGTTTCAATCAATTGTTTTTGCAGTTTTTTCGTGGTTGTTTGAATGCTTGTTGCCGTTGCATTGTTCGACGCATTATTTGCATTGCGTCGCATTCGAAATGTGCTACGTTTCTTTTGTCCAATTGTGCAGCCAATGGTTTTAAATGGTTTTTTCTTTTTGGCCGTTGGCGTTTGTATTGTTGTCACATCGATGTGGTCATTTTTCGTTTCAAAAATACGGATTTCATTATTGAATTTTATCTTTTTTATGGCTGCCGTTGTTGTGCCAGCACTTGGATTTGCAACGGTGGTCGTTCGTATGGTTCGCGTTCGTGTATCATGTTCGAAATATTTTTTACGATTTTTTCGACGTTTACCACCGCCGCTCGTCGAATTGAAATTCTTATAGGCGAATGCATTGGACGACGATGACGTTGACGGGTGGCTTGCATTGACACTCTTTAATTTTTTTGCCATTGTTTGTGCACCGTCTTCAACCAATCAATTTTCGCGTCTATTTCACATTTATTTTTGGGTGTTTTTGTTCAAACAAATTGAGTGTGGCGCAAAAAGCACTCAGCTAAATTTACTTTGATTGATTCAATCAAATTTTTGTGAAAGAAGAATTTTTGTTCTTGTTCAAGTAAAAATGTTGCCAAAATAGCATTGACGATTTAACATATATGTATATATTACAATACTATTTTTGTTTTTTCTATATTTTTTCTTTTTAAAAAATGGAAGACTTCGATTCAGATTTTAACGAGATGTCACATTATTTTCTTACATTCTAATTCATTCAAAATAGTTGGTGTATACGCAATACGATGTAGATATATAAATATTCTTAACACTAATTTCACAAATAAATGGAAGACATTTGTGATTTGTTTGGTTTCTGTTCGGTCAATATCGGATTTGATTTTGTTTGGTGTTTTGCTCAAAAACCGAATGGCAAAACATGAATGCAATTTTATTATTTATTTGCATTTGATATTTAGAGATTTATTCATTTGGTTGGTTTTTTTTTATTCATTTATTTTTTTATGGGTTCACATCATGTGTGCGAGAGATTAGATTGAGTGTGTGTGTGTGTGTTTTGTTGGTTCATTATCCGCTCGTGTCCTAAAGCAAACTATTCCGAAAATCAAATATATGCCGCATTTTTAATATAACGAATAGCAAACAAAAAACAGTTTTATTTAATTAATTAAGTCAAATTCCACATTAGAGATTAGGAAATATGTTTTTTTGGTGTGTGTTTTTTGCAATTAAAAAAAATGTTGAAAATTCTCATGGAAAAAAAATATATTACTCAAAACTAAAATATATATTCATTGGTGTGATTAAGATAGATAGAGAAAAAGATTATTTATAAAAAAGAGGAAATTTGAAAATAATGAAGCAAAAATAAACAAAGATTTTTCTCGAAAAAAACTGAATAACTACAGAATTTGTTATACATATATAATTTGGACTGTGGTGTGTTACAATACAGAAAATTCAAGTGGAACTAACAAGTGTATTTGTTGGTTCAATAATAGATATATATATATAAATGACATTTGCATTTGGTATATATATTTTTATGTTTTATTGTTGAAATCTACAATATAATTTTTGTTGTGAAAAAAGAACGAAAAACACTTGATTTTAGAAAAACAACAAATTCTCTTACCTGCTTTTAAAACGAGTCGTATGCTGTGATGGTAATTATTGATTTTTTCCCTTCAATCAAATCGCACAGATTCATTCTGTGTGTATATGGAATTGGATTTTTTTTCTTCAGCAATGATGGTTCCCTGTATTTGAGGGTGTTATTTTCTTATTTGAAAAATAAAATAAATTACAGAAACGATAAAAATGAGTTTCTTTTCTTCTATTGGATTCAATTTAAATGTCGACAAATGAAATCAAAGTAAAATTAAAAAAAATTGCATTTCGACTTGATTTGAACCGAAAATAATGAATGCACTCTTCGTTGTGTATGTCCTGTTTAACTCTAAAACTATGAAGGGAAGTTTTATATCAATACAGTTACATTAACATACAGAGGGTTGAATTGAAACGGCATATTAAAGAAATACACAACGAACCAAAAACAATTCGAAGCATGCGCAAAAGGCAAATCCGCTACCGCATAAAGGGGGATGAAAACTTCCTCAATTTTCCATAATACACATATGAATAATAACAACAAAAAACCAGTTATTACGGTGTTTCTTTGTGGCAACAACAACAATAGAACAAAAATCAGGCGGCTCCATTTAACGCTGTAGAAAGTTTACCTGTAATTTTAGTTTTTGTTTCTTACATCGAGATTTTTTTTTGAAATTAAATAAAATCATAAAAAATGTATAAAAAGGCATAAAGAATTCAAAATGTGAATAAAAATGAAAATAAAAATGTGTTGAAATAAATTCGGTAATTTGTATTTTCATCAATCGTAATTGCGCCGCACTGAAATTCCCCTCAAAGTTGAATTTTACCGCGCTGTGGTCAATATTCGAGTCGTCCGCTACTGTTTTGATGTGCATTTGTATGTGTGATTGTGGCAACTGTCACACTTCACGTGTTTTAAAAATGTCAAACTGGTACAAAACACATGGAACATACATATTGAAAAGAAAATAGACAGTACGACAATAGACGCACGACCAAAAAGAGTTTCAAAAAAACTTGAATGTTATTGTTTTCGAGAGATAGATAAATAAATTGCACGATGCCGGCTAGTAAATTGTTCCATCGACATCGTTCGTTGGGTTTAATATGTAATCATGTGCCGGCAACGGTTCGTTTTGCAACACGACGTCAAGAGAACATAATCATAACGAGTGTTGGACGAGTATTTCATGTCTACAGTGCCAATCATTTTCGTTTGATTTGTGTAAGCGGTTTGCATCCGGATGATATAACATGTATTACATCTGATAATCGGTTTGTATATACAAGTGCTGGTGAAAAGATATTTGCATGGCGTGCCGGTAATATTGTTCGTCATCGTTTCAATGGTCATGAAAAGAAAGTGCATTTGTTATTGCCATTTGGTGTACAACATCTTGTCTCAATCGACACCGATAGTTTGCTAAAAGTATGGAATGTTCAAGATGAAACGGAATTTTGTGAGATTCCATTTAATAATAATGAATTTAAAATTACGGCCATTTGTCATCCACCGACATATATCAATAAAATATTGCTGGGCAGCGAACAAGGCGTACTACAATTGTGGAATATTAAAAAATGCGCATTGGTGCACACATTTCAATCATTTGATTCGAAAATCATGATCATTCAATCGGCACCAGCCATCGATGTGGTTGCTGTTGGTTTGGCCGATGGCGGAATTATACTATTGAATTTAAAATACGATGAAGTTGTGATGCAATTTAAACAAGATTGGGGACCCGTAACATCGATCACATTCCGCACTGATAATCAACCTTTCATGATTACGGGCAGCACAAATGGACACGTTGTCGTCTGGAATTTAGAAGAAAAAATCATATTTCATCAATTCCAAGCACATACACAAACAATCGCAAGCGCCGCTTGCATGACAAACGAACCATTATTGTTTACATCATCAGCGGATAATTCCATTAAATTATGGTGAGTCCGGAACATATTCGCATATAAATGCTCCTTTTTTGCTAAAAATTAATTTTTTTTTCTTTATTACTTCTGTTTTTAGGATATTCGATTTACCTGATGGAAGAGCACGTCTACTTCGAATCAGAGAAGGGCATTCAGCACCACCGCTTTGTATCAAATGTAAGATCAGCATTTTCTTCATCATTTTTTTAAAGAATCTTTGGTTGAATATTTCAATGAATTAATTGCTTTTTACATGAATTAGATTATGGAGCCAATGGGAGTAGAATTCTGTCGTCTGGCGAAGATTCATCACTGCGAGCCATTAGCACAATATCGGAAACGTTGAACAAAAGTTTCGGTCAAGCTAGTTACAACAGAAAAGCATCGAAGAAACGAAGTAGGTTTGAGTTTTTTTGGCTTTCTTTTTTCTTAAAATCGGTATTACCTTTCTGCACACACATAGTGTGTAAGTTCTATTTATTGAAATTCAAAAGTGAAAGAGACAGAAATAACATCATTGACAATCCGCTGTACTAATAAAATCAAAACTTTTTCTAATTCCACAGATCGAATGGAAGAGGATCCGTTCCAAATGCCACCTATAACCGAATTCACAAGTGAATGTACGCGTGAAAAGGAATGGGATAACATTGCTGCGATTCATGATGGTTTGGTGATGGCTACAACATGGTCGTTTAACAAGCGTAAAATGGGCGAATTAAAATTGGTACCGGAAAAGTATCAAAATAAAAATCGTACCGATTTCAAGGCCGAAGCAACATCTATTTCATTGACGCATTGTGGCAATTTTGTAATTATTGGTGAGTATTATTCAACTGAGTTTCAAAACTAAAACTTAATCACGTCAAACAAACAATTTGTAGGTTATTCTCCGGGTGATGTGGAGCGTTTCAATATACAATCTGGCCTCCATCGTCAAACGTACGGTGGAAAGAAAACGGCGCATAAGGCGGCCGTCCGTGGTGTGTACAGTGATTGTTTAAATCAAATGGTCATCAGTGGTGACAGCGAGGGTGTTTTGAAATTCTGGAACTTCAGTGGTAACTCTTCTATTATTTCACATTTTTATTGATTCTTTTTCGATTATTTACTAATTATTTTTTGATTATTTGTTCTTTTCTCTGTGATTCTCCTCTTAGGTAAAACCAATGTGGCACATACAAAACTAGAACTCTCATCGGGCATTACAATGTTTCGCGGTCATCCAGAGAATGCGTTGCTCTGCATTGTATTGGATAACTTCACCGTAAACGTATTGGACTATGAGACAAAATCAATTGTTCGTAAGTTTGCTGGTCATACGGCACGAATAACGGATGCAGCATTCAGTGCCGATAGCCGTTGGTTAATAACAGCCTCAATGGATTGTTCAATTAAAGTATATGACATTCCGTCAGCATACATGATCGATCACTTTCAAATGGAAACGGCGTGCATTTCATTGTCGGTTTCACCGAGCGGTGATTTTTTGTCAACTGCTCATGTCAATAAGCTTGGCATTTATACATGGGCCAATAAATCGTTGTTCTCACATATTTCCATCACATCAATCGATCCATATTCAACACCGCCAAAAATCGATTTGCCCGACTCAACCGATACATCGGTTGAACGTGATGAAATCGCCATCGATAGTAAACCAGACATAAATAAACTAGCATACCAATCGCCAGCTCAAATTAATGACAATCTAATTACAATGTCTAATTTGGCCGCATCACGATGGCAAAATCTACTCAATTTGGATGTTGTGAAGAAACGAAATCGACCAAAGGTGTCAATCACAAAACCAAAACATGCCAGCTTCTTTTTACCCACTGTGGCCGGATTGGACTTTCAATTTGATCTATCCGACCAACAGAAAGCGGACACAAGCGATACAAAGGAAATAAAACCATTGGCATCCAATCATTTTTCAAATCTCACCAAATTTGGACATTGCTTGGATAATAGCGTTAAAATAAATGAATTTACCAAATGTATTCAGCATATATCATCGCTCGGACCTTCGATGGTCGATTTTGAAATTAAATCATTAGATCCACATGCTGGTGGTAATAATACGGTGATGCTTCAATTCATGAAAATGATCCATTTTATGCTTATGTCGAATGGCAATTTTGAATTGGCTCAAAGTTATTTAGGTTTATTTTTGAAACAACATGCACGCTACATCGTGTCACAGCCAACACTCAAAGACTTTTTGCACAAGATTGAAATAGCACAGAACGAAGGATGGAAGAGATTGGAAAATAAGCTCATTTATGGCATCGCTGTCGCATCTGAATCACGACTCTATGCAAATTGAATTGTTTTACCATTTGACAAATCGACTTTTTTTATAAATATTTTTAATGAAATTTAATAAAAACGATTTAAAGTTAAAATATTACAATTTTGTGGTTTATTTGCAGCTTCGAAAAAATAAATTTAAAAAATGTCAAAAATTAATTTAATTTTATAAAGCAAAGGGATTTAAAATTAGTAATCTCTTTTGGTCGGGTCCAAATCGATTTTTTCTGGACTGGTTTTTCTAATAATTGGATCCAGAAGCACTTGAAGAAAATGTAAGCAGAACAGAAAGAAATCTCGCTAATTGCGGTAAGTATATAAGTCTCTTACTAGCGACTTCTTTATTTTAGCCCTTTAACTCTATAGAGTTTGATTATGTTACCCGTTTGCTCGATTTGAAATTTATAATTCCGCTGGCAACCATTTCTTGGTCGTTCATTTTGTCGAATCCTTTGGTTTTGAGATCAATACCTTATCTCGTAAAATAAAGTTATGTCAATTAATCTAAAATGGAAATTATGATTTAATTTGAGGATATCTATAAGGAAAATATCTTTTGTAATGTTTTTTCTTGGTGTTGGCCATATCTGTTTGGACAACATGTGCCATCGTGTATATATTTTTGCTGGTAAATTCCGTATTTTTCCTGCGTTCTATTTCTTTAAGTATCAAGTTCAATTCATTTAATGATCGATTTCAAATGACCGGCCTGCTATCATACCAAATTCCATATATCACGTGTATTCACACAAATTTAGAAGGTACAAAAAATAACAACAACAAAAATGAAATAAAACGTTTTCGGTTGGAAATTTGTTTTAATTTTGCGGTATCTATTCCATAAAATTACAACGTTTTCATAAAAAATAGGTAGTTAGTTTTATGAAATTTATTTTGCCTTGCTGTTCAAGATGATACCATCGTATTTCTGTTGGAACCACTTCATGGCGTCTTCCTTTGTAAGTCGGTGTTGGAATCCAACTTTGCCGGTCTTCTTGCGTTTGTGTGCAACATTGAAGCCTGAAACGATGCAGAAAAAAAAAACGATTAAAATATGTACTTTGATTAGATTTGAAATGAATTGGTGATGGTTGTGTTATGTCTTTTTTCCACCTTAATATCTGACAAGTGCAAAATAAAAATCAGATACTAAATTCAGCAGAAAATTAGTGATTTAATATTCGCACCTTGACTGAGAAAATTTCGGTGAAAATACTCTAAATCGAATTCCGTAAATCTTCCTAATTATGTGCGAAGAAAAAATGGTGGTAATTATATGAAATGTGCGTTTGCTTACCTGGACGGCCCAAAACGACGTAGAAGTCCAAACCATAGATACCGATTGATGGATCGTACTTGATACCCAAATCGATGTGTTCTTGGATACCGAAACCGAAGTTACCGCTGGCTGAGAAGTTGTCACGTCTCAATTCGTATTCACGAACCTATGAATAAAAACAAAAAAGACACATTTTAGTTGATTTACGTGATGGAAAAACGGTCACTTTCCGTTTAAAATGCACAAAAAGTTGTTGATTTTGTATCTTTCGTATGTAAATCGCTTAGTAAAAAAATTGAGTAAACGATTGTTGCAAATTGAAGGACAATTGTTATTCTTGCATTTGTTTGATATCATCGGCCGCAAACCGATATCAAATAGTTCGATTCACGACATTTCGATGACAGCTAATGCAATCCACATGTTTGAATTGTGTCACAATCAACACACATACACTTTTTACTGAATTTTTTTTTGTATTTATTTACCTTAAGACCACGTTCCAAAATTTCTTCGGCTTTAGCACCGCGGACAGTGCAGTGAACGGCAATTTTTTCATTACGACGAATACCGAATGAACGAACGGTGTAACGTGCTTTTGAGAAAACTGGCTGTTGTCCAGTCAATTGTTCCAACACCTACAAATGACAAACGCACACACATTTTTTTGAGGTTAGAATTGTGCTTATTCGAAAAAGACGATCGACGAAAAACATGTGAATTTGAGAAAAATAAATGCGTTTTTTACCTTAGCGGCACGTGTAAGTCTGTCACCACTTTCACCAACGCAAATGTTCAAGCACAATTTGCGGATATGTAGGTCCCGCATAACATTTTTGGCTGGGTCCTTTTTGATTTTTTTGGCTGAAACAGCCTGAGTCGGTTTAACTGCAGCTGGCTAAATAAGAATAAAAACCAAATATTCCCATGAAATTAATTAAACATTCACTTTAATCGATTGAATTTGTTGGGTTTTTTTTTCGGCGAATGCGCGTTTCTTTTCTTTTCCTTCTTTCAAATCATTTGTGGCGATCATTTGTTGTGCACATACAAAAAAATAACACCACAAAGTTCTCTATTCAACGTTCACAAGAGGCGATCAACTTTTTTCACTTTTTTCCCAACAATTTTACACGGCAATGAAAAAATAATTATTTGAATCGCTAAAAAATGGTTGGGACCAAAGAAATTTGAATGAATTTACAAAAAAATGCGCATTTTTACGCCGATGATTTAAGATATTTTTCAGAGTAACGAAAAAACAAGTTCACCCACCGACATAGTTGTATGAAGAAGGAATTTCGAAGTCGTCAAACGTCAATGACAGCAACTCAAAAGAGAGATATCACACGCGTGCTTACACACACATACGCAAATAACCAATAGAGTCATCCGAACTTCAATCGGTTCGTGTTGAACATACACACTATCGCATCGGACAACACCAATCACCAACAACAGTTTTGTTCAACTTTTCTTTTTACCGCAACCAAATTCATGTTGTATATTCATTGAAATGTCAAGCATTCAGTTTTTTCTCTGAATTCAAAACACCACGATTTTTAACTGTCACAACAAACAGAAAATATTGCGAATATTTTGGATTTTCTTTAATAAAAATCTCGTACATTTTGGTTTTGTGAAGTAAAAATAGTAAACTCGTAACGAAATAAAAATGGAAGCAATTCAATGCACCGAAACTAATAACGATGTAGTGCTTAATGATTCGGATTCAAATCGACTTTTAAAGCGAAACATCAGTGAACTGGCCAAAGATGGTAAACTCAATGGTAAATATGAAGAAAAAAAAGTGTCTTTTACCATTCAAAACAAGAATTTAACTGGATTTAGCAATAAAAATACGTTTTGAACTTTGTGATTTTAATAGAAATCAAATCGGAACGGATCATTAATTGAACATTTCTCTTGATTTTTTGTTATATATAAAAAGAATCAATAGTACCGCTTAATAAATATCGATGTCAAAATAAATAGCACTTAATAATTATATTTTTCTTCAAAATTATAGAAGACTTCAAGTCTCCGCTTCGTAAAGAAACGAAAATAAGCCACGAAGCACATATCCGCCGTGAATTGGAACAATGGAAGCAATTGTTGAAGAAGGGATTCAGGTACGTTTCAAATATAAAATTGGACCACAAAAAGGTCGATTTTATCCCTGTTTAACTTCAATTTAAAAAAAAATGTCTTCCCCAATAGCGATTTGTCAGAATCAGAGGTACTGGACTTGGACGCAATTCTTAAGCCCGATCAGAAAAATTTTATCAAAGAAGAGATTGATGTTTTGCAAATGGTTCAAGAATCACACGCATTTCGTCGTAAATTTGATTTTTTCCTTCGCGTGAAAAGACAACAGCTCAACATTCATGTTGATAAATCAAACGAAGCGTTAGATAAAAGCAAACAACAGGCGCTCAAATTACGCATCGGTTTCATGCACTGTGAACAGTTTAATTCGCTCGACAACTAACCAGGCAGCGGTGATTTTGACTGTCATAAACATTTTTAAAATCGTTTATAAATACATGGAAATTATGTATAAGAATGAACAACAGATTTTTAAGATAATGAAGTGAGATAGGAGCAAACATGAATGACTGATCAAAATAATTAGTAATTTTCTGTATATATAGTCCTAATTACTTCCGTGTTTTACAAAAGGAGCTTAGGCCTAGTAATTTTGTAATGAAAACAGAGCTGTTATTGGCAGAAGTTCATTAACTTAATCCATATAACTTTTCAATTGACATTCATTGTGCTTATAACTGCTCGTGCTCTGAATGGAAATGTAAGCGAAACAGGATGATCTCACTTTGGATTTTGAAATAGAAATTTCCATCAATGATCAACTATATTTTAAGTAAACGGGAAATAAAATAAAACACCGTGTTTTGTATCTTCTTCTTAATATGTCTCGGAATATTGTTTATTTTAATTTCTCAAAGTTTTGTTTTATTTATCAACTAATTCGATTGAATGCTGCAAACATACTGAAATATCGCCGCACAACTGGTAAGGTTCCATTAATCTTGTGCGGGTATCGGAGCAATAACTGGACATTTCATAGTAGTCTCGCGTAGTTCTGCACACCCTTTGCCAGCTACAATTTTTAAATGGAATTTTTCATTATTTATTGAGTTACATGTGGAATAAATGAAAAGAAAAATTTGAATTAAAATATGAATAAAGCGAAAGAGAATAGATAGAAATTGATTAAAATTCACCATTATTCCAGGCCGATTCGGGGCAATTCTTAAATAATTGTGTATTAAGACATGCAACTATAAAAGCGCCCATGTGTCCACACGCTTTATGATCGACAAATTTCGCTTTTGATGCTATCGATCAATAATGTCACAATTAGAAAATATTTTCAATCAAAATACATTTCAATTGGATGTTACCATGTTCGTTGCATGTTTTAAGTGATTCTTCGATAACTGGCATCCAAACCGATTTTGGGCCCAATGCTTTTTTCGCCAGCTCAGATGCCATCTGCGGCTGGAACATTCGATCCTTCATGATCCCAGTTTCATTCAAGATGCACTCGGTGACACACTAAACATGTTCGTTAATGAAAATTAAAAAAAAAAAACATTAAAAAAAATGAATTTCTGTCTCACTCTAATGTGTGGAGCAAATGGTGGCTCGTTTTGGCCATTGCTTGGATTGGATTCGGGTCCATAAACTTTCGTTGCACATGTTTCGATTAATTTTGGATCCAAAAGTTCGGGAATTTTACAGCATTGCATTGGATCGACATCGTTTGGTGGTGGCACTAAGCACTTTGGATCAACATTTGGTTGAATATTTTGCTTTGGCGGTTCACACTGCACTAATGACACGACCAATAGAATTACACCGAATACTTGAATCGAATTCATTTTGCGAATTTGTCTCGTTTGATTTTCGTTAAATTATTGATTTTTACAATCAGATCACTGTGTCAAACTGTGACTTCAATTGTCCAAAAACTGAATAAATCCAATGGTTTGAAAGCTGTGAAATGAATGAATTTCCATTCGATGGACGTTTGCTTTTATATCGCAAATATGATGTTAGATCAGGAAAAAAGTGTGTAGTTGTTTGTTGTTTTTGTGTTCGCACAATGTGGCAATGAATGTGCGGATAATTGCACGGTTCCGAAGTGATAAAATGTGAGCATCAAAACCAGAACTACGATAATGATAATAATTAATGATCGGCAAACGACATGAATGAATGACAAATGTAAAAAAGAGCATTGATTCCGAACTAAAGGTCGACCAACAATACTTACGCAACGCACAAAAACTGTAGCATCGTAAGAGTGAACGAGTTAAAAAAAAATACCATCAACAAAACATACAATTTTTGCAATAATTTCAAATCGTAATACCATCGTTTTGCGGTTCATTTTTTTTTTGTTTTGGAACTTCGCAATGTATCGCAAATGGCATCAAGTTTAAATAAATCACTCAAGCGACAAGATTGGGGGGAAATTTTTTTGCACCAACTTAATTATTATTTTTGGTTTTATTTATCGAATAGTTTGCGTTTTTTTTTTTATGAACAATGGACTTATTTTATGGGCAATTACTTCGACTCAGCTGCGAATGTCTGGCGCATTTTTGGTGCTAATGACACGGTTTTCAGATTCTATGAAAGTCGATAACAATATCGGGAAAATCCCGGTTTTTTGAAAGTAGTTTTGCAAATATCACCACATAATCACCGCTCAGCATACATTGACTGACTCGGGAAATTGACGGTCATACTAATGAGCTACCAATAGTTTAGTTCTTTCGCACTTTTGTGAGAGATATATTCTAAGACAGAAAGAGGAACTGAGAGAGAGAGACACACACACAGAGAGAGAGAGAGAGATAAAGATAGACCGAGAGAGAGAAATAATTATAGAACATTAGACTGGATGAATAAGTGAGAAAGAAAATGTATGCGCGCAAAGCAAAGAAATTCACTCGATGTACACGCTGAACTTCATCAAATGAATAAAGGAAATCAGATTAACCTTGATTACCTTATACAATTGAAAACCACAAATAAATGCGCGCGCTAACTCCAATACATTGGAGATGCGTGCAATTCACCGTCCAATTATCATACCTAATGCCTATTCTAAAAATCAATGAGAATGGGGTCAAAAACAAATTTATTAGTTCACGTACAGTACACAAACAATATATGTATGTTTTTGTTGTTACCACATTTAATCAATTCAAACATTTATTTTTATTCGTTCGTCAAATATAATTAATTTAGAATATTCGTCATTTGTATAAAATAGAATTATTAATTTGCGCAAAAAAAAAACGCACATTTTCTATTGAATGAAATGTTCTGCGAGAATAGTGTATGACTCATAGACCGAAAAGAATGCTTATTTGTAAATAGTATAAAAAAAGTTAATTTGTTTATTATGTTGGAATAAAGTTGCCGTTTTCATCGACATCAATGTTATCAAAGCTGAAATTATTTCGAATACCCCGGGTTGGTGAACAGTTGTCGATGAATGTGCGAAGTGTATCACAGTCTTCATCTATTATGAACATTTTAACAAAAATGCATTAAAACTGCTTATAAATTGAAAATCAAATAAAAACTTACTATCTGTATCCAATTGTGGCGGGCAATTTCGATAAATTTCGCGATTGAAGCATGCAGCAAACATACCAGAACCGTTACGACATCGTCTAACTGGTAAATTGCGGCCGGATTGGAGGCGAATTCGTCGTCGTCGGCTGATTAAAAAGTTTCGCAATTGCTTCGTGCATCGATCAATCGAACGTGTCAATAAATCAATGGGCACCTCTGGATAGTAATCGGCGTACACTTGAACGGCAATATTACGATCAAATCGACCATTTGCTATTATATTCGTTTGATTGAAAATGCATTCAATGGAACAAAACTGCGGAAAAAAATTGGTAGAAAATGTTGTGCATCGCAAAAATGATCGTTTTCAAAAGCATATCACTTTGATCATGAACTGATCAGTGAAGATCTTTCTCGTATATTTTTTCTTCAAATTGAAATTTAAAACTTACCGCCGGTGCTGAATTGATGCGATAAACAATTTGCCGACTGTATCGTCCACCACGGTATCCACCACCAAAACGATGATAATCACTGCCACTGCCTCCACCTCCGCCTGCGCCACCGTGATGGTAATCATCATGATAATGTGACGATCTATGATGATCGTCATAATGATGTTTGTACGGATAATAATTGTATCCGTATTTATCCTTTTTATACCATTTCGTATAATAATCATCTTTGCCGATGGGACCATTTGTTGGTGTAACCGAATCTTCGTCGGAATCATCGTCATCATATGCAACTTCACTAACCGGAATCTGTGGTGTTGTCGTTGATACTGAATTGGGAAAACATTCCGGAAAATTGTTGCGATCGAATGGTTTACTTGTGCGACAACATGACAACGGTTCAACATTTAACGGAGGCGTAATTTCACAATCATATTCATCCACTTGCGAATATGTCGTCTGTGGAAATCACAATTTAAGTTTAAAAAAATCGATTTTCAAGAAAATCAATTCGTAATTGAAATTCGAATATTATTATTATTAAGAAAAAAATAATTCACTTACTGAGCTTAAGCACAAAACCAGTAGAACTGAGAACAAAAACATTATTTTGATGTGAAAAAATTATTATTTCTTCTTCAAACAAAATAATAAGACTTTGATTTAGCGGAAAAAAAAAATCGTTTATTCAACGTCTTCGTATCGAATGCAACACTCAACAAATCAAAACAAATTCTAAACGCATTTCATCAGATTAGTTTAATATTTATATCGGTTTTTGATATTGGGGCGCGCGAATTTGAGTTTGGTGAGAGATAGAGTGTGAATCGGACCGATGGCTCCACCTTCCCCACCTGCATTCAGGTTGAACGTCCATATCTCACCGGCCGACGACGACGCATAAAATTATAACGAACGCATAAATTAATTCGCGAAAAATTTGAATGAAAATCATTGTTCATTTGAATTGTAGTAGTAGGTTAATGGTTTACAAACATTGAACTCAACTCTCATGTAGGGCATTAGTCATAGAATATCATTCATAAAATTTCCAGGTATTTCGGAGATAAAAAACAGAAACAAATGTAATTCGTTATCTTCGAAATGAAATTCGGTTAATAACTACTTGACTTGATTAATGGTTTAGCATTAAGTAATTTAAGATTATTAGTTTTTTTTTTCGAAACAATGCGTACATTTTTCTGCGAAAAACATTTCGTTTAGCATTTATAATGAACAGAATTTAGAAAAAAAAGTGAAGTTAATTGAAACAAATAGAAGAAAAATGTGGAGTGTGAGTCAACACAGGTATTGGGCTCAATAAAAACTCAACATCAGTATCTATTAACGCCCTAGATTAACAAATAGATGAACAATTCGTAATAATCGCATGTTACTAAATCATATTTTCGAGCTCATTTTTAAACGAAAACATTTTTGCGCTAATTTCAAGCGAACGCTTGTGATTCTTCTGAATTGTCCCACATAATAGTTTTATCATAATTATTTCAGAATAATTTTCATCATATTTTTTTAATGGAATTTTCATTTAGAAAACCGTTTGTACCGATTTATGCACTGATGATTCAACGATGGCAACATAGCATACATGAACCGTTTCGTTCATTTACAGATCCTCATGTTCTATAAACATTGTCAACTGAACTAATTACATGTAACGACCTCTGGCGGTGTCGGTCAGTTTATACATCGCAATCTATTTGTTTTGTTGTTGGCTTCAACTTCAAATTCAACTGTCAAAATACCCGCCAGTTAAGACACACAAATTGCATTTTGTCCGCCAAAAATAACAAGAAATTTTTTTTTTATTCCAAGACCCATCATGCGTTGCATCAATTTGTGATAATCACTCGGTTTCTTTTATCTCTCTGTGGATGAATGTAGAATTATTCAAAGCAAATTTTCGTTCGAAAACTGAATAGACAACGAATCATCGGCAGAAACGGAAAACTAATACATTTAATTGAGGAAATTAAAGAGAGAACAATTGAACATTTTACTTAAAGAATAGTTAACGTCACAACGATGAATACAGTGGTTTCGTTTTTAAATCGACAATATGGTTATCGTGAGTATTTAAATTGTTTTTTTAAAATTGTGAATTTAAATAAAATGAATCGATTGAGAAAGTGAACCAACAACAAAACCGAAAAAAAAACTGAAACTGACTATGACTTTTGTCACAGTCAGCAGAGACCATCATTTTTTCGATTCAATTTGCATTGAATGCAATTTTACGTGCAATCGCCTTTCAGTTTGTCATACAAAGAAAAAAACAAAATTTTAAAAACAATATCTGATTTGTGGTATTGTGGGGGAATTTTTTTGCCGTACATTTGTTTTATTATTATTTGAATGACGCAATTGACATATACAGACGAACGAAGAATGCGATTTGACAAATCATTGATAATGTTGTTTCGTTTGCAGAGAAAAGATGGCAATATGACAACGTTTTATCCAGATTATCAGCACATAAATATGACTGTTGGAGAGGCATCGCACCATCCGAAGTACACATCGACTACAATCCAACACCGCCAATTTTTGCGGCCAAATTTGCAAATTGTCACAATCATCGAAACATCATTGCCATTGCCAATGAAGATGGAAAGGTATTCATTTACACTCTCTTTTGAAAAGTTAAATGGTGTTTTTCCGAGGAACAAAAAAGATAAATGAGTAAATAATTTTGTGTGAAACTCTGTGTTTTAGGTGGCCGTTCAGAATACTGACATCCCAAACGATAACATTGAAGAACAGCCGTTGATCGGAAATCAGTGCCATAATAATGCCGTTTTTGATGTCGAATGGGTGCCGGGACAAATGCAAATTATCTCTGCATCAGGTATGTCAAATAATTATCTTAATCAGATTATGGTATATTTGGACTCACATTCCGCGTCTACATTTGTCACTTTAAGCCTAGAACATATGATTCGGAGAAGATGCTTAATGACAAAGAAAAATCTTACAACTGTGTGTTGTGCCGAATAGTGTTTACATATTTTATCGCGATCATCATTCTTTCTTTAACATATATCAAAAATCTTGCATGGTCGGGAAATGTTAACATTCGTGCGAAACTATTAATTGAATTTAAATCAAAATCATAAATAAATATTTATTTATTTTTTAATTTTCTATTTTGTGAAAATGTTGATGCACAGGTGATCACAACACTAGTCTATGGCAATTGAGAGAAAGTCGATTCGAGCTCGTTCGAACATTTCAGGGTCATACGCGTTCAGTAAAAACGGTTGCATTTCGACGACAAGATCCAGCATGTTTTGCAACTGGTGGCCGTGATAATGCAATTTTAATATGGGACACACGTGCCAGAATGAATACCGGCAACAATCGACCAAAAGCAGATAATTGTATTTTGTGTGGACATGCGTCGGGACCTGGTACACCGCAAGCCTATCGTCGAAAGGCATCGGCAAGACAAACACCAAAGTTGCCACCACAACAACCGTCTAGCAGTATCACTGGTTTGGCATTTCAGGTATGGTCACACTTCGTAAAAGTCAAATCGGCACAAAATTTATAATTTGTTCATTAATTTTTGTTTCATTTCAATAGGACGATTACACATTAGTGTCATGTGGCGGTGGTGATGGTATAATAAAAGTGTGGGATTTGCGGCGTAACTATAGTTGTTACAAAAAAGAGCCAGTACCAAAGCATAGTATTCCATATCCGGGCACATCAACGCATCAGGGATATTCAAATTTATTAATCGATAGTACTGGTCAAAAGCTCTATGTAAATTGCATGGATCACAATATCTATTGTTTTAATTTAGGCGTATATGCAACACAACCGATAATCAGCTATACCGGTTTAACGAATAGTACATTTTATATAAAATCTAGTTTAAGTCCTGACGAACAGTATTTGATAAGTGGTAGCAAAGATGAAAAGGCTTACATATGGAATGTAAATAGTTCAAAGCCAATATTGGCATTGCTTGGTCATGCCGACGAAGTGACATGCGTTGCATGGGCTAAAACGCCCGAACTACGTATTGTCACCTGTAGCGATGATTCACGGCATAAAATTTGGCGCATAAATAATGATAGTATCGATACAGATGACACAGTACAAGATTATCCTGGAAAAACCGAAGTATTTCCACGTATAAAAGAGGCACCGTTGAAGCGACGTTTAAAATATTTAGAATATACACCACGTTCATTGAAACGGATCGTTGATCTAAATGAAACGACGCCCAGTTCAACGGAAAAGGTAACCATGAAACGTACATTTGCCGAAGCAAATGCTGACGATTCTCAAATGGTATCATCATATGGTGGTGATAGCAAACGACAATTGATTGAAACACGGGCACGTCGTTTATTTGCGCCAACAACATCGACAAGCACTGACATTTATCAAAAGTATAATCAATGCAACGATGATACACCGCGACGCATATTGCCTGGTATTACGGAAGAAATTGAGACACCACCAAAAGATGACAGTGGTAAAATACTATTGTCACCGCTCAACGAACGAAATCAATTGACCCATTATCGTTTGGATGAAATTCGTACGCCATCATCATCATCAAATCGACCATCGTGTTCACAATCACTATTTTCACCCACATCAAATCTACCAAATTATGTAATGAATGCCAGTGATGCACCACATCTTAAATTACAATCGCCAAAACGAAAACTCAAAGAAAATATTGATTGGCTGACGAAAATTCGAAAGCAAAAATTATCGTCGACTGTTGGCCGTCAATTGACTGAAAAATTAAATGATACACAACAGGAGTCACAACAAACATACGGTCACAGTGATAGCCAACATCATCTTCATCAACACCATGAATTGAACAGTGGCATTTTATCGCCACGAATGCGAAAAATTAAATCATCTGACCGAAGTGGCATACAGAGGCGACGATTATCATCGTGTCAACCGCATCATGATGATACAATTACAAACAGTTCAAATGTTACGACAGACGCCAATACAACAACACCAACACGACGAAAATCAGAAACTACCCTGCTACGGTATTTCTGTGTAACACCGACCACCCGCAGCAGAGAACAATCACCAGCCGCACCAAGTCATTCAAATGACACAACTATTAGCAATTAGGCCACATTTCATTTCATCATCGAAACTTCTTTTTAGCAAACAACGTAACATTCGTACTGAAAACGCTTTTACACACATTTTCTTTTAAGACTTTTATTCTTTTAAATAAATTCTGAAAAAATATAGAGACAGACAGAGAGAGAGGAAAAATATTTCGGCTAAATCGTTCATTAAAAGGCTAGAACGAAAAAAGCGATAGAAATTGAGATATATATATAAAAAAAAACAAAACATTTTCGGACGGAAATTTAATGTTTAATTTGCTGTTTGACACATATTTAAAAAAAAAAATAGACAAAAATATATATATATTTTTTTAACAAACTTTTTTCACTTTAATCGTTTTCTTTTTTAAATTGTTAAAACAAAAATTAATTACAGGAAAAAAGAAGATTAGAATATATTAGAGAAACAAATGCAGATTAGTATCTGCGGTGACTGGTTGGAATCTATTAACAAATTAATTAATTCGTGTTATTCCAATATACATAAACAGTCTTGTCGAGTTCATTGTTTTCAGTTTTTGTCGTGCTGTGCGACTCAATCTTCTTTAATTCTATTTATTATTTCACACATTTTGGTAAAAACAAGTTACGCTTTAAATTTTATCATCAAAAAAATTGTCTTTCATATCTAATATATTTCTTGTATTGAATTTTGTTTATCTATTTTTGCATCGTCTTCACCTATCTCAATACAGACATATTGAATTCTATTGAATTTTAACTCGTTTTGAATCCTGATCGATGCGTAGTAATTTCGATCCGATGCCATACAATAGAATCAAATGACTAAGATGTAATAAACTGCTCGATAGAACGGTGCTTGGATATGTATTCCATGCGAACTCAATAAGACCGAGCAGTAATAATTTCAACATGACATTAAAATCGGTGAACCACGATAGATACGGTAAACTATGAAAATACCATACATAAAATTGATAATGTAGGCTTCGTGCACAGACAATGCCGATAAAATTGGCCAAAAATATTGGTAAAATGGCCAATTGAACGGCACGATCGAAATGGATGTCATATTTTTGCATCTTGGCATCGTTGTCTGTGGCAGTTGGTGGTACTGGTGCACCACTTGATTTCCTCAGCATTTGTTCGAATGAATTTAAAAATATCTTCTGGTTGATTGTAATTTCTTCTTCGCTTTGTTTGTTGTCTTCATTATCTTTTGTTTTTCGTTTTTTAGTTGATTTTTTTGTGGTCGCCGTGCCATTTACATCATTTTCGCGATTTTTAACGTCGATTTGTGGTTGCAGTTGTGCTTGTAACGTTCTCAAACGGCAATAATTCTGGAAGTATTTATAGGAAGGCACTAGAAAAACGAGCAGTAACATTATGTGTACGGCCAATAATGTGATGTGAAAATATTTATGCTCGAATGTTTCGATTGGGAGGAAACGATAATTGACGGTCCATTTATGTTGAAAAATGCGACCAAAATCAAAACTGCCTTTTATATATTCGATAGGATGTGTCAATAAAAATGGTGCACCAAGAACGAGTTGAATTACAGCACATATGCTCAATTGTTTGATTGTATTCACATAGCCCAAATTGACAATGTAAAACAGTAAAATGGCCGGTGCAAATAATAGAATATTCATTTTTACCGAAACACCCAAACTTAAAAATATACTGCCCATCGTCCAATTTCCATTTAAATAGAAATTCAATGCAGCGTACAGTAGCAGTATTGCAATTGGATCATTGAACAGACGAAGTACATAAATCGAATGAATGCGATGCGATGTGAATGCACTGAAGATCAACACATACGGCGGCACTTTGCGACTTTTCGAATAAATCTTTAGCACCAAATGCATTTGTAATAAATAAATGCAAATAAAACAGTATTGAGCCAAACGAATATTTTTGCCATGGCCGGTGATGTAGTATAAGAATGTGTAGATGTAAACAAATCCAGCCGGATACACTAGCGGTCCCGTATCACCTGAAATTGAACGAAAGACAATTATTATTTCGATGATCATATGATCGACATCATCAAATCGGTAGAAGAGGAGATGAAAAATAGAGAAGAAATTTGAGGTTATGTGTACCTTTCAAAAGTGAATAATTTGTCGTTCCATTTAAAAATCCCTCACATTCTTGCATGTATGCAATCCAATCGATTTCCGTATAATTGACACGCTGCACTATGAATATGTTTAGCATAAATTCGACGATTAAAATGCCAATCGATACAATGGGCAATTTTGATGGATCAAATAACAGCGATTTTGCATAATTCACATTCACATACTCTTTGTAACATGATTTTATGAAATTAATGAGCGATTTTTTCGCATTTACATGCGAATTCTTTGCAATTGGAGCCATTTTATGATTTATTAAAAAATAATTTCTCTTGCATACACGCACAAACCGCAGTAGAAATGAAAATTACATTTAAAAGAAAAACACCAATTTTGAAATAACCAACCGATTTTCATTCACGTATAAATAACAACAACTCGCTGAAATACAACTTCTTCACTTTTTTTACATATTCATATTTTTATCCTCTTCTAGCTCTTGTCGGCTTTTTTTCACTTTCAGCAAATTGATTGATGAACCAGGCCGGGTCCTACCTCAATGTTTATTTTTAAAAACTACCGAAACAACCGAGAAAGAGAGAAAACAGCCACAGATATATGTTTATTATTACATATTCTGCTACTTATTATTATGTTGTGTTGGCTGTCACACCATAAATTACGTACCAGATTAATAACGTAGAAGATTTCAAAACCGATTTGAAAACAAAAGCTCAACGAGCTTGGAAAGCTTAATTTTGAGTTTAAAATGTAATTATATTCAACGTTTCTTTATTTTAATTATAATTTTCAAAAATTCATGAATCTATTTTTTCTGTAATTTTTTCTTTTGATTTATGGAAATTGTAATGAATTATTGACTATTGAGTATTTTGTTAAAAACTTTTACTTCATCGACTTTGTACTCCGGGTCGGTGCTTATGATAGCACAAACTCTATGATTTGTGTGAACTACAGCGTTGATAAATCGGCATTTAAAAAAAAACATAAATAGACTCAAATTGACCCAGCTGGGAAATCAAAATTGTTCAAATTTAGAAAAAAAGACGACTTGTAAGTCGGATATCGACGAAAGAAAGTGCCAACGGAAGTAAAAAAATATTGAAATCGATTGCAATATAAAAACAGAATGAAAGAACCAGATAAAAAAAGGTGACAACTGTAACATAAACAATAAGTGAAGTGGCATTGAATTCAAAACTGATATTGCCATTGACGTTAATAATATTCGATTTATGTATCTTCTTCATGAATACCGAGTAGATTTGAATGAATGAATTTTAATTTTTCTTCTCAAAGATACTCCACCGAGTTCAGTAAAGAATTTCCGGATGCTGGAACTCAACAAAGTCGAAACCAAAAATGGATTGAATGCGACTAAATCAGCAGAGACAGAAGACGACAATACATCGTAAATTACACCAAATGAAATGGTAGATACCAAAAAATTGAATCATTGAATCACCAAAGTAATAACAAATACATAAACAAAACTGGTCAAAGCCATACTAAATTTTGATGATGTGTGCATAGCGTAGACAGTATCATACAACAGCAAAAAGTACGCATGTTGAAAAGAGAACGTAAATTTGGCATTTGTGTTGTTTGTTCGAATCAATCGTTTACTCTCACTCTCGCTAACCCGTTATTCAATGTAATCAAATTTACCGGCATCAATATAATCAGCTGATCGTGTATTTGCGTGTACTCTGTACAACAAGTGACAGCTACAACAGAACAATCGTTTAATCGATTTTCGATTTTTTTTTTGCTAAGAAAGTCCAGAGAACCAACTTCAACAACTTCATTGTGTGACTAGGTATAAGAACCATAAAGGCCATTAGATTGTAAATTAAGGTTGGGTTCATTGCTATGGGATCGAATCTCAAATTTTACGATATTTTGCGAATTTTATGCCAAATAATTTGCTATTGAAGTTGCACAAAGAAATCTGTGGCAGGTTTTCCAATTTCGAGTGAGAATACATTAAAATTGGTATGAACAGCAGTAACACAGTTAAATGCAACGTAAGTAGATTAAAAGTGGTATATACATTGGGAGCATTAAAATCAAAGATCTACGAAATTTCAAAAAAAGAAAGTTTAAACAACAATGTTGATGCAGAAAAAAACTATTGTAACCCTACCCAATTTGGAAGGATTGGCCAATTCCTAATTTATTTTTGTTAATATTACGCAGAGTTTTTATAGGCACCTTGAAAGTGCGGGCAATCAACAAAATTTATTATCCCCTCATACGGTGCTAATACATGTATCTATAGATGGATATCAGAAATCAATTTGACTCGAATGCCTGGCCATCTAAATATTCAAAACTCTAGAAAGACAGAAAAATTTAGTTAGAAAAATTCGCTCGGCCTCGGTCTTTCTCTAGTAACGAAATACTTTTTTTCGAGACAATAATAATGAAAAATTAACAAAAAAATCTAATTTAAATTGAACATGAATTTGTATATTAATCGTGTAATGTAAAAATATTTTCGTTTTGAGTCAAAATGAAATGCAGAGTCAAAATGATTTTGTTATCATTGTTTATTCGTGTGTGTTCATTATTACAATATACGAATTTCCTACTGAAAGAGCGAAATGTTTTTTTTTTTTTCAAAAATCTAAAGTCAACAATTTTAATCAGCATACGGAGTGCGATATAAACCAGGGTTTTTGTACAATTGTTGAAAATCAATAATATAATATTTTGCACGTTTGTGTACTTCTTCACGTACGACATTGCCGCCGTATCCGATGAAATTGTTGGCTGGCGGCGCGGCTTCAAGGTCGGTAGCACCATCGCCAATCATTGTTATGTTTACATTCCCTTGTTGGCCCAGTGATTGTCGAATTGTGTTAATTACTTCACTTTTGCCACCCGTTCGTGATGTTGGCTGATTGGTATCAAACCCAGCATAACTGCCTATAGATGAAAAAAATGTATTTATTGTGTGCTTTGCACGAAATGTAGGTGCAGTACCATTGTAATGGAAGTACAGTATATTGGCAAATACATGATCGAAAGGAATACCAATCTCTTCAGCAATTGGTTCGACTAAGCACCGAAATCCCCCGGAAATTAAGTAAATGGTTTTGTTTGCATGTCGCAATCGGTCAACGAACTCCCTATTTAAATTGATTGAAAATGGCCTAATTTTGTTAAAAGTTTTATGAAACGGCATGTGAAGATTAAATGTGACCGTTACTGAATGCCTGATGATAATGACGTTGCATGTGATTTGAGGAATTCCCGAATTTGCTGTTGCGTTGGTTGAATAATGTTTAAACGTAGTCGAAGCGCCTCTTGGTATGTTACTGTTCCTTTCATTGCTTCTTTTGTTAATCGGGCTACTTCTTGACCTTTGCCGCAAAACTTGGCCAATTCATCGATACCTTCTTCCCGGATCACCGTCGAATCAATATCAAAGCAAACAATCTGTGAATGCTCTATGACATGTGCCGCTCCAGAGGGATTCTTTGATTTATCACCAATTAATGACTCGGTGATGTTTACGGCATCATTTTTCAAAATCGTTGAAACAATTACTGACTGCAACTCATTAGAATTATTTGATTCTGGAACGGTCGTATTTTCAGAATTTACTAAAATAGCAACCAAACATATCAATGAACTATTCAATATCCACTGTAGTAGCATCCTCTTTTCCTTCAGAAAATATTATGGTAGTCCCACAATTAACAAAATGTAAATCTTGAAATATAAATGTTTATTATGGTAAATTTCGCAAGATTTCATCACACATGTGTTTGAAATAAGAACCAGTATTCAACTGATAAATAAACAAGTTTAACTAACCGTCTAAGTCTTATCCAACGACATTATTGGGAACGACGACATTGTATCCGACAATGTACACGATATTATTTCCGAAAGTGTACTCGACGACAGTTTTTCTTTTAGATACGATTTTCTTATTTAGATAAGTAACACATATTTTACCCAAAATTTAGATTCAAAGCTTTAATTTTTTAGCAAATTCATTAGTATTTTACGGTATTTTATAATAAGCAATGTGAAGAAATGCTAAGATTTCAACTTTTCTGTTCTGAATTGTGATTTTATTTCTAAATTTATTCGTACTGGTTGTGATTTGAATCAAATTTAGAAACTATTATTATCTTCGCACAATATCCAATCAAAATAAATTTAAAAATGCTTAAATGAAATGAAGTCAATAGCTTCAAGCTACACAGAAACAAATATTCGAGTACGCTTACTCGCACTTGCGGTGTTAGCAGAGATTCTACCCCTCAAAATGAGTTACGCACTCTATTTTACTCTATTTTTTGTGTTAATTTCATCCAAGTGAACGCATCGTAGTGAAAGAAGAGATACATGCGGCTATTACTACACATGTATTTCTTCTTTCACTATGATGTGTTCACTTGGAGGGTAGACTATCTGCTAACACCGCACACCGAATATTTGTTTCTCTGTACTATAGTAAGTCCATTATAGTGGATGAACCATCTTAGTTATTACTGAATGTATCAAATTGTCCGTCCCACTTCAAGGTTGTTCATTTTGGAAAAGATGAAAATTCCCAATTTTGTGTTGGTCCATTTCACACAGAACTATGCCCTCTGCATCCTTTACATTTCACGTCAAAATTTATTAATATTTTAAAATATATCCGTCTTATTTGATTATTATTAATATTTATCTTTAAAAAAAAACGTTCCGTTTTGTTTAGAAAATGAAATTTTCATTTTAGCTTGGCCTCCATTATAAATGTTGGAGATATCAATATTTTACCATATTTTATGAAAGGTAATGTTCTCTCAATTTGTTGATACGATCAAAAATTAGTGATGCAAATCATCAAACTTCCTTGAACTTGACGAAAACGATCACAGAATTTATGTATTTTTTTGTGTTCGTGTTTTACATTTTTCAAATAGTTTGTGCGCGACGGTTTGTGTGTGTATGTGTTTTTGTTTACGTTTAAACTATAAATAGCATAATCTCGTCGATAAAATGCATCATATTATTTTGCATCGCATTTAATTTCAAGTATGACTGTTATACTTTGTATTTATTTCGAAATTGAAAACAAGTATCGACAAAACAAACTACAAACACACACAAAACACAAGTATGTCAGTAACTAGTTTGAATTCGAATTCGTTTGATAAAAGCACACAAAACATATCACAATATTCTAATTTCAGAAGAATGATAAAATAAAAGAGAAAAAAATGGTGGAATTTTTTTACAAGTTTTTTATCTTAAAAAAAAAATGCAGAATACAGTTCTCCCCGCCAAATTGACCCGGAAAAAACATACCATTATCAGAATCGTTTTTTTTTTACTTTGAATGAAATTTTGAGTGGTGACTTCATCACATCATGCAATACAAAGTTACATCATCTTTTTTTCGTTCGGAAATGTTTTTCCACTAGTTTCCCGAAAAAATGTTTTATTTGGTTGAAAGTGCCAGAAGAGACACAAATTCGTTGGAATAAAAATGCTCATTACATGGTGTCTAAATAAATAATTCCCATTTTTGAGCGGTATTTGGGGGTTATTTTGCATTTTTACGATTACATCTTCTCCGAATGAACAAATATATGTGTTATTACTCAGAGTCATATTTTATGTGAATGATTTGAATGGAATTTTGTTTTCGCCCAAATAGCAAATGATGTTTTATCAAAACAGTGTTCATTGCAACTCTTGCGCTTGATTTATTTCCAAAACACTTGAAACGGTTGCGTTTTTGGTCAGCTATGTTTTTTTCTATTATCATCACCCGGTCAGATTGCATTTGAATTCCGTTTAAAGTACAGTTTTGTTTTGAAACAATTTTTATCGTATTATCAATTTTTTTAAAATTCGTTCCTAATTCTAAATCTAATATAAATTTTGTTTACATTGTTAATATATACATCTGCTTAATACAAGCAAATATACAATGATAACACAGGGTCGTAATCTGAACAACAGTCGGTGGTTGAGTGTTAAAACTGATTAAAGCTGACTAGAAAACAATGCTTATGAAATTTACCAAACTTCATTTCGACCATTAATTCCGGCTGAATGCAAACATTTTTTTTTATTTTTTGCGAAAAACATTTAAGCATTTGTTTGCAAAAGCATATCGAGACTCAAGAGAAGATATAAAGGAGCTGTACAAAAGCACACACAAAAAAATCCATAGCAAAAGAACGATTAAAAATACAAAAATGTGAAAATTCCGTAATTATCACGTTTGCATCATACCAAAATCATCTTGTTTTATGAATTTGTTTTTATCTAACTTTCATTTGGCGATCGACGTCATTTGTTGAACAACAAAAAAAAAACACACACTCAATTTCTTTGCTCTGTAAATCAACAAATCTACTTCTTTTATTATTGTCTAATGCACTATATCTTCCCTATGATACCCTATCCAGACGATCAATAAAACCCATTGATAAATAATAATAATATTAACTCTTTTTTTCTTGGTACGGTAAGTGTACGGTGGCATTTAGTCCGGGCTCTGAAAAACAAATGGGAACTGGCGAGTGAGAGATTGATAAGATAGTAAACCACATCAATTCAGATACGGAAGCCACTTCCCTTGCCAACATTCGGCCAAATAAAGACCAATTTGTGTGTTTGTTTTACTGTTTTCTTTCGATAATTTCGTTTGCATCATTCTTTGTTTGCACGAGAGAGAAATACTATAATTATATGACATTATCAATGAATATATTGTCGGCGAAGTAGAAGGCACAACAATAAAAAAGAAATCATTGAATTGAGCTATATGCTTAAGCATTTGAAACAAATGTTTGAACTTCACAGATAAAACGTACACTCAATTTTAGTAAAGCCGAAGAAAATAACAATGGGGTCGTGTTTTTTTGTTTCAAAAAACGTCAATCGGATATTTAGAAGAGTTAAGCGACTCTTTTGTTTCTTCTTCAATTTCTTTGGCATTCAAATGAACGGCGTCCTCTTCTTGGCCATTATTGTAAATTTAACGATCTTTCAAGATTTCTTATTAAAATTTCATCATCATTAAATGAGATGAGAGGCGACAAAATATGAAACAACAATTCATTTGTATACGTTGCTCGTAAGACACACATGAAGCGCCAACATGTGCGAAAGAAGATGAAAAAAAAATTCCATGTAAAAATGAAATAATACACGTGATTAGCAACTGATATAGAACTCTCACTTAGTCAATCAGCCAGTGTGTGTGTGTGCGTTTTTTTTTTCTAACTCTCGCGCTTGAACAATTTCACAAACAAAATATTTGCAAGCTCCTGTTCACTTTGTCTCCCATCTCTTCACGCCAAATGCCTCCCTTATTTCATTACAAATTAATATACTTGAAGTAAATGAAGTTTATGATATGCAATGATAGTGCAAACTTGTATGTTATTTACATTGACTGATTGGGCATGGAATATCAATTCGCGACACAATTATATCGTGATATAGTGTGTGCATATTACGTTGAAACCGATAGTGGTGGTCAATAATGGTTGATAAAATTGCAAGTTGAAGGTCTTTATTTCCACCGGCAAGCGCAATCAACAGAGAGAAAGAAGAACCCGCGACAATAGAGAGCGAGAAAAAAACATCATGCATGATTCAGACACACATCCACGCAGTCTGTTGATGATCGCTCGCCCCAAAAATAACACACATTCTAGGTGTGAAAAATTCAATTTTCAAAATAGCAAAATAGTGTGTGTATGTGTGTGATAACATCGTTTTTATGAAAAGGTGATAGACTTATCTTCGTCACAGAGTTGAAACAAGACAACAAAGCGAGCACCAAAAAATATTGCGAGAGCAATAACCGTTTGAAATTAAAAAAAAAACAGAGGTAGATATCAGTTTGGGGAAAATAGGCTTAGAAATGCGTTGACAATTAAAAATAACAAACTCTGGTTTTCTGTGCGTAACCAAAAATATCGCAATTCATATCGACTAACTGATAAAAAAAAACAGTGATGAAAAAAGAGAAAAAAAATGTTTGGTGGCCTAGATTCGGTAGCTTCGGATTGTTATTTTTTAAATTCTTGATGCCACATGCAAATAAATAAGAAAGTTCACAATAGGGCGTTGCTTAATAAAACGATTTCTCGATACACGCCACATATTGGTCCCGCCAACATTCGAAACACCGTCGCGAAAATTATCATGGACATTTTAAGTTGATGAAGGAAAAACTTGCAAACCTTTCAGACGCAGATGAAGAACGAGACACACACACACACACACACAGAGAGAGAGAGAGAGAGAGAGAGAGAGAGAGAGAGAGAGCAAGTGAGAGAACACCAATTATTGTGTTATTGTAAGAAATGCACTGAAACTAGTTATAACTTCTTTTTTTTTTTTCTGTGGAGCTTTAGTACACGCTTGCCGCAATACATTCATCACTGTGTCAGTTGTATCTTGGCTTTACAAACAAAATAACACATGACTAACAACAATAGCAACAAGAAATCGGATATATGTGTGTACTTGATCTTGAAGAAGGCTAATGTTTTGATTTGCGAAATAAAATTATATTCGGTCTTTTTGGTCAATGAATAAAATCGGCATGGATCTGAGTGCCTCTAAGAATGATGCGATGGCTCACATCCACATGAGCTATGTGACAGAAAGAGAGAAAGAGAGAATGTGTGTGGAAAAAGAGCAAGATATCGAATTAAAATTTAAATAGTCTCTATCGGTTTGCGTTTTGCAAAAATTCCATTACGGTACGCAATGAAACGAGTTTTGTATTTCGTCAAATTTGTCGGAAAATGTTGTCGTTGCGGTGTTGCGCATATTTAAATTAATATGGATCAAAGACAAACACGTGTATCGTATCACACGGTTTCGCACACAAACACTATATGCCATATCGCAGCCACTGTGCGCGTTATTTTAACAAGCAGCAGCATAATCGTACACAACCGCAACACACCAGTTGAACACAGCACAATACACACCAAGTGAAAATTCAGCTGGCCAGCTGAAAAATGCTCACTTTGTTTATACAGCGCGAAAGAGCGAGAGAGAATTGTCATACGGCAACCAGCTGAGTTCTGAACCCGAATTGAAAACAACAAACCGCCAACAACAGATCGAGAGTGAGAGCATATTCATGAACATACAAATACACACACATGCGCACATGCGCACGCTCTCCGCACACTACACTATAAACGACCGGCTTGACGCTATATATTCCCTCGCTAAACGTAGTGCCTGTATGAATACACAACCGCTACGAATGCGCGTGGTTGTTTTGCTTTTAAGTTGAAACATTGTTTTCGATTCAGTTTTGATTTGGTTATACAAGAGTAAGCACACGCAACCAGCCCAAAGCCAACTAGAAAATAGAATCAAAACGTACAGATAGGCAGAAATTGTCAAATTGATTTTTTTTTCGGAATCGATTCATAAGATCGAATAACTTTCAAAGCATCTTCACGATAAATCCGCTTTTTTTCTCTTCCTTCTATCTTTCGCAAACGTTTTTCGTGAAAGAAATTAATAGAGAGAAAAAGAATATATAGAAAGCGTCAGAATTTGCTTCAAACTGTTATTTTCCAAAAGAAAAGACGAAAAACTTGATGAATAATTATCGTTATTGGTACGAGAGTGTGTGCGTGTGTTCGCTTATTTTAATTTTGAAAAAAGAAAAATTTTCCATTCAGCAACGAACGCTGAATATAACGAGACGAATTTTTTAAAACGACTCGTCCACATTGTCGGCGAAATCGAATTTAGAATATAATTTCAAAAAACTTAAACAATTCATCGATTACATCGAGAGACAACGCATTTTTTTTTTTGAAACTCTCTTTCTCTCTCTCTCACTTCAATTGAACAAACCGAAATAAAAATTGTTGTTGTAGAAATTCGCGCATGAAAAATAAATTTGAAAAAATTCAAGTGAAAGCCGGCCAAAATTATTCGATACAGGCAAACGGAAAATTGAAGTTTTTTCTTGTAAATCGTCTGTGTACATCGAGGTTGTGATTCGGGTAAAAAGTTTATAAAAATCGAATAAAACATTAAATAAAAACAACGATAGCAGCAGCAACTTTCATACCATACCATTTAAGCGAATCAAAGAGGCTAGTGTCAGCAGAAATACAACGGGTCGTATTGTACTGGATCTAGTTAATTCAAGGTCTGTTCGGTGGCATTAAAAATCGGCTACAACGGCGACAACAACGACGAGAATAACAACAACGGCGAACGAAAAAAATTGATCAACATCTTCAGTGAGCGATAATCAAAGTAAGTGTGACTTTTTCACCATTTTTTTTTTCTTCAAATTTTGACAGCAGAACTCTCTTTTTCAATCATGCACATACACATATAAAATTATCACCTTGCATCACCAGTAGATGTAGACATGCACCCAGCCACATTCGTATAATAAGTAGATTTTTTTTTCTGAAGAAATAAAAACAAAAATTAAGTAGCTCCCAAGTGATGATACAAACAAATAAATCACCGATTTTGAGAAATAGAGAGGGACACCAAATAACAAAAAAAAAACCACAAACAATTTTCAACAAGAGTTTATTTGGATGGGAAACTAAAATAGAAAATGTCATGACACAAACAAAATGAAGAGAAAAAAAAAGACAATGAGAAATAGATAGAGAGAGCGTTTGTTCACATTTCTTTCGAAAATGCCGGCATTCAAATGACATTGTATGTGCATCGAACTGCAAAATCAACGGTTACCACAATTTAATGCTCTCGATATGCGCTATACATGTATATTGTTGAAATTGCAATCGCATCATATGCATGCGTGATGTGTTTGCATATTTAAGTCTTCTCTCGGCCTTTTTTCTATCTCTGTCTCCACACACAAAATTACATTGTCATGGAGTTTGTTATTCAGTTTTTTTTTTCTTCTTTGCATTTTATGCTATTTTTACATGCAAACTTGCTGTGGTTTTGCTGGATGAGAAACAGAGAGAATGAGTGAGAGAATAGGAGCAAGAAGATAAGAGAGTGGATGCGCTAGAGAGAGAAGAGTGAGCATGTGCACAATATACTTTGTGTGAATATAGTAAATGAATCGGAGAGAGATAGAGTGAAAGAGAGCTTTCCAATGTGGCAAAATCGTATATTGAACGATTTGAAAACTCATATACTGCGCTATCTTCTCAATTTGATAATAATTTCATTTTAAAAGTGACACAAACACTTGAGAGAGCGCAAATCAAATATCAATTTTGAACCGAAATACACAATTCTGTCTGATTATAAATATGAAAATAAATTGAGTACATTTATTGAAAAATAGAGAGAGCGAGAGAGAGAGAGAAGACGAAACCAAAGAAAAAAGCAACGAGTAATCACTAATCAGTACGCAAACACACCATTGAAATGCAGTCTAAGTGCGAGTTGAATACACAAGTTTAGTAGAGCAATAGAGTCAATGTATTATAAAATATGAGCGATGTAAAAAGACGCATTGAATTTTTGTTGTGAGAAACATTCCAATGCCGTGTGATAAGAACGATAAACGGTACCGAAACGAGATCATTGAATAAACGACCAAGCTATATAAAGATAAAGTGTTTTGTGTCTATGTGTGCGAAAAATAGGGATGAATACCGTTAAAATCGTTGAATTTATTGTCGGTTTGCAGTTCAAATACACTCACACACACTTGCACACGTACAGCGAACGTGAGACAGATCATATGGTTGTTTTGGGCATTACGTAGCCATTGCACGAAACAGCCGCTAAAATGTACAAAATTTATTGACAATATTAGCTGGCATGTGAAATTGAAGTGTTTATTCATTCTTTATATTGTTTATTCGATTTATGTGTGTGTGTCTATATGTTTCGCACAGCAACCCAGAGTAGAAAAAGAAAAAAAAAGTTCGTTTTTTGTCTATATTTCGTGTGTGTCTGTTTTTTTTCTTCATCGATTTCGATTCGTTTATTTTTTTAAAGTGGAAATTTACCGGCTCTGCATCATCGTCGTGCATGTAAAATGAATCATCGTTTCGTCTACTTGTCTAACTATTATCGTACATTCGGCAAATTTTTCGCGATTTTGATGATTTTAATGATATCTTCGCGGTCTAATGAACATGCGAAGAGGTGAAAACTGGCAAATAACACTAAGAAAAGAAAAAACAAAAAAAACACACATCTCCTTATTTAGCTCTATTGATTTCTTTGTTTGAAGCGTTCGTGTGTGTGTGTGCGTATTGTAGCGAAAAAGCCGCATTATTGTAATCAACCGGCTGAATGACTGAGCTAAATCACAACGAAATTCAAACAATAATATACACATTGCATATAAAACGACACGTAGCGACTGTGTATGCATACATATGATCGTCGTTGCAATTGAAGTCGGACGCTCGAATGAAATGTAGTACGAATTTGAAAAAAAAAAACAACTACGACACGGACAGAGTGCGAAAGAGCGAAAGAGCAAGGGAATTGTAGAAATAGAGAAAGCAAGAGAATGACGTTCACACAAAATAACCTGCTGATGGCACTCAAGCACAAGATGTCAGCTGTGCACAATCAAATTGTGTATTTTTATACACGGGTTTATTTTTGCACTTTCGAATACACACCGGTGCTGATATAGAAATAGATTGTGTATATGTGCCCACCATATCCCACCATTCCCAATATATATATATATATATATATATATTGAGCGCACACGCCATTCCTCATTCCTTCTATATCAATCTCAATCTCAAATGTGGTAAATGACTTCTTTTTTCCTTCGTTCAACGTTGCATTCAAATTCCATTTCTTTCATTTCACTCGTGTTGCGATAGATTTTGTGAGGTTTTTCAACTTTGTGGCCGCTGCACGCACGCACACATGCACGCCATGTATTTCTTGGACTCTAAATAGAGATATATCAACAGCATGACTATTTTATGAGTCTATAAACGAGGCTCATTTCACCTTCTCAATCAACCAAGCAAAAATTACATTTTCTTTTTCCGTGCATGCAACAATCGGTGTGCCTTTATGACGGCAATATAATAGTCGCAACCAAAAAATGATCTAATCAAACATGGTTTTTGCATTGACAATGCAATCTCTCTCTCTCTCTCTCTCTCTCTCTCTCTCTGTATGTGTGTGTGTGGATAAACAAAGAAAATCGATAAGATGGCCTATCACAATTTGGCGTAACATTGTGTGACTTCAACTTGTAAAAAAAAAAACTTTTCAAACATAGATTTTTCATACGCGAAGCACATTTCATTTCCTCTCTCTCTCCCTGGTTCGTTTCGAAAATTCCTTTTTTATTGCCTCTATCTCTGAAAATCATGATCATATGCGCCTTTGTTTGCTTGTACCTGTGTCTTAGCTCTGCAAAAATTTACAAACAAAGAAAATGCATACATTTCCTCGATCACGACCGACCGAACAAAGAAATTAAAAATTGCGACGTCTAATTCATTTCAACTAACCGACTGATTGAGAAAGTTGCAACAATTTGACCGATGTTGTTTATTTTTGTTATTCGCGAGACTGAATTGTTGCAACAATTTATATAAATTGTAAACATTTTCAACCCTATGCGAAACAGACAGAGAGGCGGAGAGACAAAGAGAGTGACTGAGTAAGAGATTGAGAAAGTTTTGCGACAATAACAATGAATCGAATGCCAAAAGTCTTATTTCTTTTTGCGATTTTGCTCTAAAAAAAGGTATTGCACGCGCGCTCAACAACGCGAAAAAAAACCAACAACATTGAACGGTGATCATTACGAGCAACTTAAAATGCCGCACAAATAAATGAAACAACAACAAACCGAATTACAACCAAAAATATGCAAAAAATAATAATAGAGAAGTAGATAACGAGCAACGCAGTTTTCTAGACGAGAGAAAAAAGGAAAGCGCGCGTCAAAATAGCAAATTTACGAGCAACGAAAAAAAGGCGCGCACAGAAAATGAGCACTGCGCACTCTTACAAAGAGCAGACGATAACCATGTAGAAAAAAGTGGTGGCGAAATAACAAATAGAAACGGAATAGTGAAAAAAGAGATCGGACAAAAATAAAGAACATCTAAAAATGTAAACATCTCGCCAAATGTTATCACATTGATATTTGGACTTTAAATATATATATTTTTTGTTTGGCTGCGATGTTATTGTTCGAGTTTCTTTCTCTGCGTGTCAAATGAAAAATGCTGTCAGTTCTTCGCATTGGTGCGGGTATGCGTGTTTTTAAATTTTTAAATTATACGATCTCTAATCATTTGCGGTCGCGATTTAATACTGCACGAGATTAAGATGCGACACACGAAGAGCAAATCAAAACAAAAAAAAAACTTTCTCTCAATTCATCCTGTGGTCGTGCACGTGTTCATACATACATTTTTTTTTATTAAAATAAACAATAATGCTTTTTTTTACTATTGCCTCGCTGCCGTCGATTGACATGAACGAAAAAAAATGGTGGCATCGAAAACCAAATTGGAGCGCATTTCAAATGGCTTTCTCAGCATGGGCATGAAATCGTGTTTGTTTTTTCAAAACATTATGCAAATGATAGACAACGATCGTCCATTTTTGAACTCAGTTCCAAAACCAATAATCAATCGCATCACATTATTGTATAAAATATTATTCGCCTATGATAATACGCCTTTTTGAACAAAATATTTGGTCAATTTGTTTAATTTAATTGATGAAACGAGTTTGGATGTTTTTTGTTGTCTGCTCGCTTTGCACATTATTAAATGGAATATGGTATAAACAACTGTTAAATGCTTGAAATTCGATAATAAGCAATTCATTTCTCTTGCCGCACAAAAAATACCATATTATTTACAAGTGTGACATTCATCTATCAAACGTTTGTTAGTTGCCTCGGAATTTTCGTGCAAACAGAATCAATCAAAAGCTGTCTAATTCAGCACGGCAATGATATTGAGTGCAATTTCAAAGGACAACACGCTTTCAATATAACAAAAGAACAGAACAACACACTGTGCTATCTACAATCGATCATTATCACTTGATATCGAAATAGAACGCCCAGTTCTCTACCCCAAAAATAAAAACGCATCGAATGTGAAAATATAGACTTGTTCAAGTGATATCAATCAGTTGTTTCTATTTCCAGCTATCAATTATTTATTTTAATAAACTGCAAATTTGTGTGCAATTGTTTGCTAGGGTTTTCGTTCGGTTTTTTTTGTTCATTAGTTCTGACAATGCAATCATTTTGTAAAGTGTTTTAGCTTATTTGTCACGCACACAAAAGTAAACACATT